GTGATGCAGATACTTATCAGTATGCGTCTTCTTGCGAAACACCGAGGTCAAATATCCCTGCTGGTGGTGTTGTCTTATTCGCACATCCAAGAAGGGTAGGGTGCCGTTGATTTGTTTTAGAACTGATTTAGATTATTATAAAATCATTTTAACTGCGAATTCGTTTGCTTTGATTATGTTTGAAGCACTTCATGTGGGACATTCGAAGTAAGGTGGCAACAGCTTTAAGATACTGTTCCAAGTTACGGTCCTCCACTAATGTGGATGGTTGCATGTAATGGATGCCATCCATGCCAAACGCAATCATGGCAAGAACTCCCTACACTCGAACCATCTGGCTCACGATCGGCCTGTTTGCCACTTCCCACATGGCCACAAGGATTTCTTCTTGTTTGTCTATGGCATTCGTTTTGATGATATGTCCAAACAAGTATAATTTGAGTCATTCATTTTGCACAGGAAGCGATTGATCATCAGAACACAGATTGGTAATGAACAATTTAGCTCTGTGAAACTTCATGTTAGAAGAAAGTCTTTTGTCTGCAAATCTTTGCACCTATAACCGTTGTATCAAACGGCTTTTGCCTTGAAAGCCACTTATTTCAACTGTTGTTTTGTATCATTATGAATTTTAGATTATGTTATGAACATTTTGAAATAATTATCTGTCTGCGGATTGGTGAAGATTGTATGAAAATAGTTTCGAAATTTTGCGCTAACGCCGTAAAAACTGTTTTACGTTCCTTGGTAAGATAATGTTACAACTTTGTTAGCTGGCACAGACGAATTTAGAATGGAGAAGCATTCTCTCTCTCTCTCTCTCTCTCTCTCTCTCGAATAAACCCTCATTGTATGTGATTAGAATGCTTCTATTTTTAAACCTCTCGGAAGATCCAGGGACATGTTTATTATGGACGAATATGGTCATGGTTGAAGTTGATTGAAACAGATTTACTTAAATGATTACGAATGTTCACCAAGCATTGCACCGAGTATTATAATGCGCTGCTTTTAACTTGTAAAATTTCGTTATCTGGCGTTTAACCTTCCTTCAATTGTTTTGGCGTAGATAAACATATTAATAACAAATTTTGAGGTCTTCAAGGTCACAGTCGCGTCGAAGTGGCATTGAAAAGTGGACATAAAAATAAAATAATTAATTTCTTAATCAATGTAAAAGATGCATATTTAAATAACTTAATAATTAATCTAAATTTTGATTTGTTACTTAAATTGGGCGCATTTTCAGCAAAATTGATTTTAGGCGCGATGTAGATTTTCTCATTTATCCTGACATTTTGACTTACGGCAGATGCTACCATCAGGGTTGCAATAAATGCTTAATGACTGTGCGTTAAGCTAAAAAGTT